GAGAGGGGGAGAGAGAGAGAGATTGAGAGAGAGAGGGAGAGAGAGATTGAGAGAGTCATTCCACTGGTTGTATTCTCAAAGATTAGCCTGGGGACCACATTGTGCAGAGGATTATAGGATGGTCAGGTCCCTCTGGAGAATTATAATCATAATAAAGGAGAGGGAGAGAGCGCTTTTTGGAATTAAGTGCTGGAGGAGTTAATCGGAAGAGTTCATTTTTATTTCTGCGTGCGTTGTCTCCAAAATTAAACTGCTCAAGCAATCAGCTGGATAGTAAATTATTAAGCTGCTCACAGACATCAAACTATAAACAATTACACCAAGAGAATGTGGGATAGTTCTTATTTCAGAGCAGATTTAATGCAACTGGACTAGCCATATAACTACAGTGGCTACAAGAGCAGGCCAGAGGCTAGGAATCCTACAATGAATAACTCACCTCCCGACTCTCCAAAGCCTGTCCACCATCTACAAAGGCACAAGTCAGGAGTGTGAGGGAATACTCCCCTCTTGCCCCAACAAGACTCAAGAAGCTCGACACCATTCAGGGTCAAAGTCAACCCCTTGATTGGCACCACATCCACAAACATTCTCCCACTCCACCATCAATACATAGTAACAGCTGTTTGTACTATCTACAAGATGCATTGTAGCAACCATCAAGGCTCCTCGGAAAGCACCTTCCAAACCCAAAACCACTTCCATCAATAAGAACAAAGGCAACAAATATACTGCCACCCCCTGCAAAGTTCCTCTCCACACCACCCTGACTTGGAAATACTTTGCTTCGGTATTGCTGGGTCAAAATCCTGGAATTCCCTCCCTAACAGCATGGTCTAACTACACCAAGTGGACTGCAGCGGTTCAAGGAGGCAGCTCACCACCACCTTTTCAAGGGCAGTTTGCAGTGGGCAATTATTGCTGGCCCAAACAGTGACAAACACATCCACCAAATGAACAAAAGTAGGTGTCCAAAATTAATAAGGAGGCAATTGTAAAAGGAAATAAATAAATGCTGACCAATGCACCACCAACCAGAAGACACAGATTTAAGGAAATTGGCAAATGCCACAACAACGTGCATTCTTATAATGTAACCTCAGCACAGCAAACTGCCCCAAGACTCTACACAGCAAGATTATCAACAACACTTTAAACAGAGAGATTTAGGGAGGGAATTCCAGAACTTGAGGGTGAGGCAGCGAAAAGCACCAATGGTTGGGCAATGGGAATCAGGAACGGGCATAAGGCTAGAGTCCAAGGAGTGCAGAGAACTCAGGCAGTTGTAGAGGCCTGAGGAGGTTACAGGAATTGGGAGGGGTGTAGGGGCTGGAGGAGATGACAGAGATAGGGAGGAGTGCAGGGGCTGGAGGGGGCTACAGAGATAGAGAGAGGGTGTAGGGTCAGGAGGAGGTGACAGAGATAGAGAGGGGGTGTAGGGTCGGGAGGAGGTGACAAAATAGAGAGGGGGTGTAGGGGCAGGAGAAGGAGACAGAGATAGGGAGGGGTTTACAGAGGTAGGAAACGGTGTCGCAGCCGGTGGGGTTTACAGAGATGGAGAGGGAGTGAGGGTCATCAAGGGATTTGATGTTGGAGATGGGAACAATGAAGATGTTTCTGGAATGGGAGCCAAGGGAGGTCTGAAAGCACGGGGGAAGGGGGTCAACAAGACACACTGCAGATTTGAAACCAGGCAGAATGAGCTGAGTGAGGCGTACAGCTTTAGGAGCACCACATCCAGGGTAACAGACTGCCTGAACCCCAGGCTGACTCTCACCCAGCAAAGATTGGTCACTGGCCCAAACTTTGGATGAGACAAGCAGTAACCATGAAGGGGGTGAGGGCTTTGTTGGAGCATGGCAGGGGTTGGAGAGTCAAGTCTGTGAGTTCATGTCCAGTTCTGACAGGTTTGTTGTGGAGAATAAAGATTTACAGTGTGATGGTGACGTGGATAACCCCAAATTCCGATGGTGTTAAAATAGAGGGCCATTCCTCCAACAGATATGGAGCAGAAGGATCCCCGTGATATCTGAAATGTGTGATCGTTAACCACAGGCAGGCCAGAGCCGCGCCAGCTTGTCATGTCACCATGCCAACTGATGGGGCAGAGTTCATCTAGATTGGCACACAACTAATGGGCAGCTCGTCATTTGGCATCATGATCGGCCTGCAAACAAGGCTGATGAACAGTCCGACAACTTCAGCCTTGCCCAGCCAGCTGAAACTGGAGTGAAGGCTCCAGACTTCCACAAAACCATGGACAACGTGTCTGACCGTACCGACAACATTTCAGTCTGTCCTGCATTTGTCTGAAGACAACCTGTGAGACAGAACAAGTTTATCGAGCTTTTCCAGAGCTAACTTCCTACATTTTGCAATGCCTTTTGCTACACAAGGTCAGGCTATTGTAAGGTAAGAACAAACTGCGAGAGACATTTTTCCACATAATACGTCAGTGTTTTAATTTGTCTCTTTTTCTTACACGGAGCACTTGTAGACAAAATCCACTTGACTAGAATTTGTGAACTGACCCCCTGTGAATCTACCTATCTCAATATTATTGTGCAAAGCACCTTCACAACATCCCAGACTACATTGCAGCCAAGAAATACTTTTGAAAATGTTGGTACCATCATCATGTTGGAAGATCAGCAGCCATTTTGTACATTGTAAGCTCCCAAAAACAGCAAGCTGATAATGACACAGATCATTCAATTCTTAATGATGGCAGTTTAAGCATAAATATCAGACCCAGGTCTCTGGGGAGAATGATCACACCACCACCTTCATCTCAAAATACAGGCTATTTTGACTTGGGAGGACAGACAGTGATCTCAGTTTAATGTCTCATCCCAAAGACCATCTTTGATAGTGCCCGCTCCTCCCTCGGCACTGGCCCTCCGACAGTGCGGCGCCGACCCTCCGACAGTACCGCGCTCCCTCGGCGCCAACCGTCCCACAGTGCGTCGCTCCCTCGGCGCCGACCCTCTGACAGTGCGGCGCTCACCCTCCCACAGTGCGGCGCTCCCTCGGCGCCGACCCTCCCACAGTGCG